AAGTCATGGTGATTTTAGGTGCAATAATTGGATCGATTAATTTTTTTAAGTAAATTCTTTATTGAAAAACTACATACTTCAAAAAAGTGAGTCATAAGTATTAACCTCTATGAACTTTTGCAAAGTGAATACACCCCTGTGTAACCAGCACTTAGATCAAGAAATGGAACATTCTCAGCACCCAGAAGTCCTCTCATATTCTCTTCTAGTCACAATTCCCCCTAAAGGTAACGGCCATCCTTTCTACCACTTCTAACACCTTACATTAATTTTGCCTATGTGTTTGAATCTTATATACATGGAATCACATAGTGTATGCTTTTTTTGTGTCTGGCTTCTTTCAGTCAAAATCATATTGTGAGATTCATCCATGTTGTTGTGTGAACTGCTGGCCACTACCTTGGGCAAGAGGCAGGAAGGAGAAACCGGTAATCAGGCTGGAGGGGGAACCTGGGCAGTTATGAAGACACAGCAGGTAGATACTCCCTTTGCTACCTTGGCTTATCCTTGAGTGTAAAATAGGGCTCCTACTTTTTACTCAGCTTACATGGTCTGTATCAGAGACAAAAATGTTGCCAAAGAACAAGTGGGACGACATCAAAATAAGAAGCTTCTGCACAGCAAAAGAAAACATCAGCAAAACGAAAAGAGAGCTCACTGTATGGGAGAACATATTTGCCAATGATACATCTGATAAGGAGTTAATTTCCAAACTATATAAGGAACTCATACAACTTAACAAAAAGAAGACAAACAATCCAATTAAAAAATGGGCAAAGGACTTAAATAGACACTTCTCCAAAGAGGACATACAGATGGCCAAGAGACATATGAAAAAATACTCAAAGTCACTAATCATCAGAGAAATGCAAAATAAAACAATGAGATATCACTTCACACCTGTCAGAATGGCTACCACCAACAACTCATCAAATGACAAGTGTTGGCGAGGGTGTGGAGAAAGGGGAACCCTAGTACACTGCTGGTGGGAATGCAGACTGGTGCAGCCACCATGGAAAGCAGTATGGAGGTTCCTCAAAAAATTAAAAATGGAGCTGCCATTTGACCCAGTGATTCCACTTCTAGGAATATATCCTAAGAAACCTGAAACACCAATCAGAAAGAAGTTATGCACTCCTATAGCAGTGCAGTTTACAATAGCTAAGATTTGAAAACAGCCCAAGTGCCCATCAGTAGATGAGTGGATAAAAAAGCTGTGGGACATTTACACCATGGAATACTATGCAGCTGTAAAAAAGGCATCTCTTACCCATTGGGACAGCATGGATGGAACTGCAGAGTATTATGCTAAGTGAAATAAGCCAGTTAGAGAAAGACAAGTATCACATGATCTCACTCATATGTGGAATATAATGAACAAAATAAACTGATGAACAAAATAAATACAGAGACATAGAAGTATGGAGCAGTCTGATGAATTTCAGAGGGAAGGCAGGGGTGGGGAGTGGGAGTTGGGGAGAGATTAATCAAAGAATTTACACACATCTGCTGACTGGGCATTGTCAGGTATGTGTAAGAAGGGTGATCCAGACCAGTGGCCAGCAGGGACTGGGACACCAAGCCTGGCTCTCATTGGTTCCTGACATGTCAGAGGAGGAGTGTCCCAGGTGATAGCTTAGGCCCACATATTCAGACAACCTGCTGAACTCAGGATCTTCCTTCTGAGAACTAGGAACCGCCTCTCAGCCGTGCTGGCCCAGCCTGCTGGGTCACCCATCTTGGACTCTGACTTTCTGAGGTGATATGGCCTGAATATTTCCACCTCCCCTGGGGCCAAGCAGATTTACTTGTTTATTTCCTTGGGGTTTTGAAGGCTGCCCAAGGAATCTTGAATCAAAACAGGTAAACCCCATGCTAACTCCTGTCTCAGGTCAGACAAGCCAGTCATCTGCTTGGTGCCTCAACTTCCTTATAGGTATAACATGGGAACAATAATGTCTCATTTTATGAGGATGTTTTGCAGATAAAATGAGCTGGTGTGCAAGAAAGCACTTTTTAAAAGATCAAGAGATATGTAATGACAATTTAAGTCACTATTTGCTATTTTTATTGGGAGTAGGAGGGGCCATATATTTATTAGAAAAAAGTGTGATTTTTGGAACAAACAGGAATGAATTCTGGTTTTGTAACAACATACATGCTATGTAGTTATTGATGTCATAAAAATCTCTTTGAACCTGTGTCTTCATGTGGAAAATGGTGTTAATGATACTTAACTTGGAGGATTGTTATCAAAATTAGTTGTGAATAATAGAATGAAGAAATAAAATGGAGTCCCTATAGTTAAGCCACTAAGTACTAAAATCAAGTAGGTTGAGGCATAAGGAAAGGATTCTATTCTTATTTTAACTAGTCTGGAAACTTAAACTTTTGAACTTCCTAGTCCTGTACCAACGCCTGGTTATATATCAAACCTTCAAATAACCTTCTGATTACCTCCTGAAGGACTAAGTAAAAAATGTGCAGCTATCCAGACCACAGATCATCTAGAGGATCACCATCTCAGATTAATCCAGAGTCTAAGAATGCAGAACTGATTCTTGTCAAGAATGTACTTTTTACTATAAGAACTCTTAGTTTTTCTTTCTTCTTAGGAACACTCTGGGTATGTCCTAATTGTGTTTTAGGTTTATAAACCAAAAGACCCTTTAATAAATCTTTATCATTTATTTCTAGCCAAAGCCTCCAGGCTCTTTTTGAGTTCATTTGATAGTGGTTACATGTATAAAAATCCCTCCCCAGGGCCTGGCACAGAGTAGGTGCTCAATAATAGATGCTGTCATTCCTGTTCTTATAAGTAAAAACGACAGCAACAGAGATACAATATACTAATTCTGAACCTTTTCTCTCCTTCACTTTCAGGGAGCCAGGCTCCTTTTTCCTGTCCTCTAAGTGGTCCAGGCACAGGCTACTAGTTAGATTTCTGCAAGAGAGAGAAGGAATACTGTGCTTTCAGACATACCATATGAGTGACCAGATTTTCCCGATTTGCCCAGGAGTGTCGTCGTAGTATTAGAACTGGAAGTCCTAGTTCCTTGAAATCCCTTAGCCCCAGTCAAACTGGGACGGACTGACTTCTCTACAAACTGCAGCAAAGGCTGAAGTCTGTCCAAATGCAGACGCTGGCACAGATTCTCAAGTAGGAGCACCTCTGAGACAGGCACTGTACAAGGCCCTGGGCACAAAGATAAAAAGTCACAACCATTTCCATGAGCTCTGTAAACACAACAGCTGAGTACTTATCTCCTAGGACCGCAACGCGATCACCAATAGCCACAGTGCACTCGTATGGCAAGGTGCTGGAAAATAGCCTCAGGCAGCAAGACTCTGGATGGGAAATAAACCTAGGAGTGTGGCGGGCTTCTAGCTCCGCCTCTGCCTGTCCTCTCTCTTAACTCCAGTTTTCTCAACCTTGAGATTCGTCGTGTGCTTTTAGCGTGCTGAGGAATCACTTCCGAATGCTCATTAAAATAGATTCCTGAATCTGACGCTAGCTTACAGAATCAGAAGGGTTGGAGGTGGGCCCTCAAATCTGCATTTTTACACCCACTCCACCCCTCCGAGCAATTTTGACGTTGGCAGGCTACGCACCACAGTTTGGGAATATACTGATCAATAGGGAGATAATGACCTGCCTCAACCACGGGTCTGGCGAGTGATTTAAAAGCTAATAAGGCAACAAGCAAGAAAGTGCCTTGTGGACCTGAGAGCAAACCAATTCTTTGCAAATAATAGAAACCCATAATCCAAATAATACCCAAAATATCTAAATAATAATGTAAAAGAGCTGGAGGACGCACTGCAAACGCGACACAGTCTGAGCCAGTATAACCGCCCAATCCGCTCCAGCACAATTGACGTGACTGTCCCTTTAAGGCCCTGACGTCCCCACCCCC